GTGAGTGGGGAGTAGTGAGTAGTGAGTAGTGAGTAGTGCGTAGTGGGTAGTGAGTATTGCGTATTGGGTAGCGAGTAGCGAGTAAGGAGTAGCGAGTAGTGAGTGAGTAGTGAGCAGTGAGTATTGTGTAGGGATTAGGGAGTAGCGAGTAGCGGGCAGCGGATAGTGATTAGTGAGTTGTGGGCAGTGAGCTGTGAGTAGTGGACTGTAAGTATTCCGTAGTGAGTAGTGGTTTGTGGTTAGTGGGTAGTGAGTAGTGCTCAGTGGGTAGTGAGTAGTGGGCAGTGAGTACTGTTTAGTGAGTAGTGAGTGATGAGTACTGGGCAGTGAATAGTGAGTAGTGAGTAGTGAGTAGTGAGTTGTGAGTAGTCAGTAGGGGGTAGGGAGTATTGAGTAGGGAGTAGGGAGTAGTGAGTAGTGGGAGCGTAGTGAGTAGTGCGTAATGGTTGGTGAATAGTGCGTATTGGGTAGCGAGTAGGGTGTAGGGAGTAGCGAGTAGTGAGTAGTGAGTAGTGAGTAGTGAGTACTGTGCAGTGAGCAGGGAGTAGCCAGTAGCGAGTAGTGGATAGTGAGTAGCGAGTTGAGGGCAGTGAGTAGGAAGTGGTGAAGTAGTGAGTACTGAGTAGTGAGTGTGGGTAGTGAGTAGTGATTTATGATTAGTGAGTAGTGGGTAGTGAGTTGTGTTTGGTGAGTAGTGAGTATTGAGTAGTGGGTGGTGGTTAGTGAGGAGCTTGTAGTGAGTAATGAGTAGCGAGTAGGGAATAGGGAGTAGTGAGTAGTGGGTATTGGGTAGTGAGTAGGGGATAGTGAGTAGTGAGTCGTGAGTCGTGAGTAGTGAGAAGTGACTAGTGAGTAGCGGATAGTGAGTAGTGGGTAGTGAGTAGTACGTAAGTAGTAAGTACTGTTTGGGGCTAGGGTTAGGGTTTGGGATTCGGGTCAGGGGTTAGGGTAAGGGTGAGGATTAGTGTTAGGGGTGGTAGGGGTCGGGTTCCGGACCGTGGCAAAACTGGGGGGGGGCTTGAATTTGGCGGCCAAAGGGGGGGAGGGGGGGAGGGTCGGACCCCCCCCCCTTGTGAAAGGGGGGGAGGGGGTGGGGGGAGGGAGGGGGTGGGGGGTCCCCGATGAGGGGGCCGACGACGGATCAGGGAAGGGGGGGGGGGTCCCAACCCCGCCCCCCCTGGGGAGATCCAGCGGCGCACCCTCGGTGTATGGCCGCAGGCTTGCACCGTGCCCCTTTGGGGTTTCTTGGGGTTCTCTTGGGGCCCTTTTGGGGTCTTCGGGCCTCTGGTCGTGTTCGAGGGTCTTGGGAAAGTCTGAGGCCGTCTGTGGGAACTTGCTGTTATGCAGGGAGCAGCTTCTAGCTCATCGAACCACTGGGGGGCCGGACGTACGCCGTCGGCTGCGGAGCGCGGTGGCGGATTCTGGCGTTCCTGATGCTGTTTTTGGCGTGGTGCGGCGAGCTCTGCGGATGCAGGGGCCGCTATGCCAACATGGATGCTGGTGCCGACGCTGCTGGCAATAGGGCTTGAGCCAGTGTCCGCGTAACTTGTCATCGCCGTCCGTTTGCAGACAGAACAAGAGGTGGAGGTGGGGAGGCGGGCAGGCAGGGAATGAGGAAGGGTGCGAAGGAGGTAGTAGAGCTGCAGAGGTGGACGGGAGAGAGCAATGGTTGGCGAGGGAGCCTGTGCGCACGAGAACGAGCGGCGCGGAACAAGCACGAGAGGGAGAGAGAGAGGGAGAGAGAGGAATAGAGAGCGAGAGAGAGAGGGAGAGAGAGGGGGGGGGAAAGAGCGAGAGGAAGACGGCAGGACGAGAGTGCACGAGGGAGAGAGAGATGGAGAGATAGAGGGAGAGGGAGAGAGAGAGTGAGGGGCAGACGCGGCTCGTTTGGTTGGCTCGTGAGATGGGTGGTGCTGAGCGGGTGTCGCCAGCTGCAGGTGTGGTTTCCATCGGTTGACGTGGGCGAGCGAGTGCCGAAGCGTGGGAGGAAGGCGGCGGTGCGCTGGGTCTGCCTCGGGCACACGCAAGGTCGCGAAGAAAATCGCGTTTCACGCCTCGCGACCTGGGCCCTTCTGCAGAGAGCAGCGTGACTGCTCCAGTGCCAGGTGCAAGGGCGCGAAGATGGCCGCGCGTCACGCTTCGTGCTGCTTTCGCGAAGTGTGAAGTCAGGCGACCTATATCAGGGTCGGCGAGCGGGGGACGGCCGGCGGTCGACAGGGGGGGGAGAGGGCTTGCGGCGTGCTGGCCATGCGAGGGGGTGAGAGGGGCATGCTTGGCACGAGTGACTGCCCCCAGTAGGGCGCACGTACGGACGCGACAAGTAAAGGTAGACCTCCACGAGGTCAGACTCAAGGGAGGAAAAGCCACCCTGACCCGATAAGTAGCGTTTACCAAGCGGCCCTGGGTGTTTACTAAACAGCCCTGCCCTGTTCGATTCCTTCTGGGTACGTTTACTAAACTCGCGAGTCGGGGTGTGTGTTATGGGGGTGCATTTTCTGTACTCTACAAAAGGGAGTGAACGGACGGGCGGTGAGCTGGCTCTGCGAGCAGGGACGCGTGGAGAGGCTGTCGGCACGCGCGGCGGCGCACGCGGTGTGACGCGAGGCTGCTCTGCAGAGCTGGTCGTGTGCAGCTGCTGCCCTCCTCAGAACAGTAGTGCAACGGAGCTCTTCGGGAGGAGAAGGAGGAGGAATAGGACAGAGGTGGAGGAGGAATGCTTCTCCTCTCCCTGCTCCCCCCCCTCCCCTAGGCCAGCTGCACTGCGCTTGTGACTGGTTGGGCTCTTCGTCGCTTTTGTCGTCGTCTTCGCCTCCCTCATTCTTCTCGTCCTTCCCCCTGTCCATCTCCCCTCCCTCGTTTTTTGCGCAGCTTCCCCCGGACCCGCGGCGGACCTGGAGCAGACGCGAGCTGACTCGGCCGCCTGGGCACCCGTGCTGGTCGGCGACGTGAAAGACACGCATGCAGCCAGTGATTATGGTCGCCTTGGCCCTCCGAGGGTGCGACACCACCTTCGACGGCATCCAGAAGCCTCAGCGGGCGCGGGTGCGGCAAGGAAAGTAGGCGTGGCGCTGGAGCAGGCAGCTTGATGTGCGCGCCTCCAGCCCAGTAGCCAGGCAGTCGTGGACCGAACCTGGCGCATCGCTCTGCGTTTGGAGGCACGGTAAGGTGACTCCGCCCAGCTGCGCACTCTCTTTTGACACATTCCTTCTGTGTTCGGTTTCTGGCCGATTGCAGAACTTTCGGTCACGCGCCCTTTCTCCAGTTGCCCTGAGGACATGACAGGGCAGAACAGGTTATGCTGTGCTTCCCCCCTTTCGAGTTTGAATTGGTGCTCCATGATGTCCATTTATACATATGCTGTATTCTCCGCTGCTGCCTTGGCCCGAGGCAGCGCAGCCTTATCTGCCAGTGAGCACTTCGGTGTCACCCGAGTTGTGGCGGTCGTGGACAAGGTATTGACCCCCGTCGCCGCCACCACCACCGCCACCGTCGTTCTGTTTCGTCGCATGTCCCACCATACAATTTCAACATCGTTTTCTACCCCCGTGGCCACTCTGAGCCATGTCGTGGCGGCCCTGGGGCCTCTGAGATGCATGTTGGAGGACAGCCTGTGCTGTGTGCGGCCGTCTCGGGGCTGTCCTGGGCCAGACAGAGCCCTCTGACACCGCGCTGGGGGAAGGGTCCAAACCCAAAGGAAAGGGCGGGGGGAGGGGTCAAGCCCCACAAGTCCTCCCACCACAGTAGTGACGCACGAGTCTCAGCATAGGCCGGGGCCTCATTGACGCCCATCGGGAACCAAGTCATACGCCAGCCAGGTGCGCGACGCCCGCGAGGTGCACCGAGCGTCTCAGGGCCCCCCCCATCACCGTTGCAAAAGAACAAGGCAACATGATCGCGCGGCGCCCGCGCATAGTCCCATATGCTGCCGCAGTGTGCGATTCCCTCTTGTTTTCGGCAGGGATGGGGTTGCGCGAGACAGGCAAAATGCTGCCACCCCCGCTATCCTTGTCCAAGCACGGTGTAAAATTGATCGCCAAGCACCCGAACATTTTTCAGCTTTTGCCGCAACGTAATTTTGTATGGTTTTTGACAAAAGATGGTTTGTTTGGGGGGATGACGACATTTGCCTTGGACAAGGGCCAGTCGAGTAGGGGATGCGTCGAAATTGTTCAACCGCCTACGCCCTAGTGGGCTGGTGTGATTCATCGCAACGGGAAGGGATGGGCTGGAAGGGTAGGATGTCCTAGATGGCGTCGGCACACCCGAGTCGCCTCCGTTCTCTCTCGCTTCTTATTATCGTTCCTGCTTTCTCCTCCTCATCTCTCTACTGGACGAACACCACGTGCTGGGTAGTCGAAGGCCAGACTGTCAGATAGGATTGGGCCCCAAGGGCCAATGTGGCCTGGCCAAGCTGGGTGATTTGGGTTATTCGCCAGATTGGATTCGCGTTGGCTCCCTCGCCAGACTGCCCCCGTTTGCCAGATTGGGCCTGCCAGATTGGCGCCAGATTGGCTTCATTCGGAATCCTCGAATGGATGCGCTTGTTGCCCGCCTACAGGCCAAGTTTTGGCAGTCTTCGACGAGCTCGTAAGCCCTGCTCGGCTCGGGTCGGATTCGAGTTTTGCCGCCGTTGGGCGTGTCGGATCCGTATCTTCCGTGCCGTGCAGGCTGCTCGCATTCCGTACCGTTGACGTTCCTTTTTGTTTGGGTCCTCGCCCTCATGGTCCTCGTCCTCCTCCTCGCCCTCGTCCTGCCCTCCGCAGCAGCAGCAGCCTCGGCGTCCTCCTCGGCGCGCGCCGCCGCCTCTCTCGTGCCCCGCGCGACGGCCCTCCTGCTGCGACTGTCTCTCTTGCTCCCTACTGCTTCCTCCTCATCCTCATCCTCATCCTTCGTCTCCTCATCCTCCTCCTCCTCATCCTTCGTCTCCTCGTCATCCTCCTTCATCCTCGTCTTTCCCCCCTCCCTCGTCCTTCGTCTCTCCTTCGTCCTCCCCGTGGCAGGGCTCCAGCGAGCCGGAGGAGGACGCGCTGCCGCTCTCCTACGGCGAGCAGCTGGCGGGGGCGGACGGGCCGCGGGGGCGAGGAGTAAGTCGGGCAGATGGGAGGGCAGATCGAGGATGAAGGGGCGGGGCAGTATGGGAGGGGAGGGTCTGATGGGGTGTGTGGCAAGGAAAGGGTCGTCGACGGGGGGGAAGATGCGAGATGGGGATGGCCGCATTCGTTTGCAGTGCGCGTCCAGCGAACAGAAGGACGGCAGGGGTGGAGGAGATGCTGGTGTCCCCTCTGGCGTACTCGCCACGGGGCAACGCAGCGGGGCGAGTCATCTCCTATCCTCGTCTTACTCGTCATGTGGCGACGCCTGGGGGCAGGCAAGGCACCAATCTACTCCTATTCTTGAATCGGGCCTGTCCCTCCACAGGAGGAATATTCAAACATAGTTTAAAACATAGCCTGGGGACGATCTTTCGATCACTTTTGAGTGCTTTTGGATACATGTATATATATACACATTTGTGCATATAACATATATAGCACGTGTGTATGTATGTCTGTATGCATTCATGTATACATGCACGCATGCATGCATGCATGTATGTATGTATGCATGTATGGATGCATGCATGCATGTATGTATGTATGTATATATGCATGTATGTGTGTGTGTGTGTATGTATGTATGTATGTATGTATGCATGCATGTATGTATGTATGTATGTATGTAGGTAGGTAGGTAGGTAGGTAGGTAAGTAGGTAGGTAGGTAGGTGGGTAGGTAGGTAGGTAGGTAGGTAGATATGCATGTATGTATCTATGTATGTATGCATGTATGCATGCATGTATGTATGTATGTATATGTATATGCATACATGTATGTATGTTTGTATGTATGTATGTATCTATACATGCATGCATGCATGCATGTATGCATGCATGCATGCATGCATGCATGCATGTATGTATGTATGTATGTAAGTATGTATGTATGTATGTATGTATGTATGTATGTATGTATGTATGTATGTATGTATGTATGTATGTATGTATGTATATATGTATGCATGTATGTACGTATGTAATAAATGTACTGCATGCAATGTATGTATGTATGTATGTTTGCACGTACGTACGTACGTACGTACGTACATACATATGCATGTATGTATGCATGTATGCATGCATGCATGCATGGATGGATGAATGGAAGGATGGATGGATGGATGATGGATGGATGGGATGTACGTATGTATGTATGTATGTATGTATGTATGTATGTTCGGATATCTAGGGCCAGCGCCCTGTTTCGGAGGTTTCCTGGAACTTAAGTAAGTTTCGGATTTGATCTAGAGGTTGATTTAATAAGAGAGAAAGAGCAGAGGTGATTCAGAGCTCTGTCTGTAGTCCATCGTGGTTCAAAAGATAGAAAGATGGTAGCGGAGCTGGACTAGCTCCAGTTCCCAGTCCCGCCACTCCCACACCCGCGCGCCAGCGCGCGCGAGATCCGCCATTGTTGGCACGACAGATGGAGACGACGGAGTTCGAGACTACGAGCTCCGCGACGGACACCCACGAGCGTTGGACTCAAGTGGGCGTTGAGGACGATTGGCAACGGACTGTGCTGAAGTTGACTCGGTTCAGCCGACTGAAGGGATACTGGCACGAGTTCGGGCAGTACTTGAACTACGTGAAGAACCACAGGAGAGCCGAGCGGTTCGGTCTTCGAGATGGCGCTCAACCAAGAGACATTCAACGAGATGCGCGACGCAGTGCAACAGGCTCGACAGGACATACACGATCTACGGCAACAGAACGCCGCGCTCCAGCGACAAGCAGACCAGGCCGGAGAGCCTGAGATCACCAGACGGCTCGTCGAGGTGCTCGAGAGAGTCGCAGAACGGCCGCCGCCGCCGGCGGCCCAGCTGATTCAAGCGAAGGATATCGGGAAGCCACAGGCCTTCAAGAATGAAGAGTCGAAGTTCAGTGAGTGGCTCCAGAAGCTCAATAGCTACGTGCTCAGCGTCTTCGGCGTGAACTTCCGGCCGGTGATCGAGTGGGCAGTCGACCAGGCGAACGACACGGTCACGCTCACCACGGCCGCTGCGATGGAGCAGTTCGTGAATGAGGCCGAGGACGGCGAGGCAGTCGCCAACGTGGACGAGAAGCTCTCGCAGCTCTACGCGGTGTTCGTCTCGCTCACGGAGGGCGAGTCCTTCGACCTGGTGGTCAGCGCAGGCCAAGGCAATGGAGCTCAGGCCCTAAGGCCCTACGATTGCTGGTGCGACGCTGGGATCCTACCAGCGGCGGTCGCCGCCGCGTGCTACTCAAGAAAATCATGGCGCCGACCAGAGTCGCAAAGCTCGAGAACTTGGCCGCAGAGGTTGTGAAATTTGAAGAGCTGGTCAGGCGCTACGAGAGGCGCAGAGCCGACGGTCGAGACGTACACCTAGACGACGAATCAAGATGAGTGCGCTCGAGAGCCTCGTGCCGCAGGACGTCGAGATGCACCTTGCCCTCAACCGCGCCAGGCTCCAGGATACGCTGCGATGCGAGAGGGGGTCAGGGGCTTCCTGGAGACCAGACAAGCTCAAGGAGCCCTTGGTCGGTCGAGAGGCGACCAGATGGAGGTCGACGCGTTCGTCAGGAGAGGCGACGGCAAGGGCAAGCGCGGCGAGGGCAAGGGCAAAGATGGCAAGGGCAAGAACGGCAGCGGAAAAGGGAAGACGGACAACTCGAACGTGATCTGCTGGAACTGCCGAAAGAAGGGCCATCGTGCACCGAGAGAGGAAGTGCGGATGACAAAGGCAAGGGCAAAGGATACGGCAAGGATCCGAAGGGTCAGCGTTTCCAACGGCAAGGCGTTCGACGAGGCTATCTCAACAACTTCGACGGCGACGCGCACAGCGCGATCAGCACGCAACTACCGACATCGGCCTCCCAGGCCGGTGTGTGCAACCAGTCGCCCGCCGCGCTCAGCTTCGACGCATTCGAGCGCGTGCTGGAGCTGAACAGCGTGGAGGCGAAGGGTGAGAAACAGTACAGGAAGTGCATTGCGATGACGCTCGACACCGGCGCCGCTGCCGCGGCCTTCCCGCTCGAGCAGGAGGGCGAGTGCACCGAGGCCGACGGCAGCTCATGCCGCGCAGCCACCGGCGAGATCGTAGAGGACGAGGGCGGCGCCGGCATCAAAGGAGTGTCGGAGTACGGCGAGAGTATGTTCCTGAAGGGCAGGCGCGCGAACATCGGCAAGCAACTCCTGTCCGCCTCGGCCACCTCCGCCAAGGGCCGCTTCACCTGGGTCGGCGCCTTCGGCGGCTACATCCTGAAGGAGAGCGAGTTTACGCAGAAGATCCACCATGTGATCGACCTGTGCGTGGCTGAGGGCAACGAGGGCATCGTGCCGCTGTGCCTGCAGAACGGAGTCTACAGGATGGACGTGCTGATGGACCAACCTGGCGGTGCCACTTCGTCGGGGTCCGCTCCTGTTGCCGAGCTCTGTCCGTGGGCGCCGGCGAGCGCGGGCCCCCATTGGCAGGCAGCGGTCCCGTGGGGGGCGCGAGCGCCTCGGAGCCGCCGGAAGCGCCGGCAGCGGGGCCGCCCGTGAGACCACCAGCGGCAGCGCTAGGGGGTAGAGACCCCGCTCCCAAGCCAGCTGAAGTACGAGAAGGGATCGGAGACAACGAGGGCTATGACGGTAATCCTCAGGAGGTCGCGCCAGCGAAAGTGCGAGGGCGAAAGCGGCTACCTGCTCGAGCTGAAGTTGACCGACGCGAGGCTACAGGTCACGCTGTATTTCGAGAATGGTGTGAAGTTTGTTGTGCAGCTCGAGGGCTTGGCCAACCTCGTGAACTACAAGCTGAAGTTTGGGAAGGTGCAGATCCCGTTGTGGCCATCGATTTCGCGTTCATGGGCGAGAAGACCGGCGGGGGGGACGAGGGCCAGGAGGACAACTTCCCGATGTTGGTGGCCAGAGATTCTAAGACGAAGCTGCCCTACCCGACAGCGATTCCGGGCAAGAAGGTCACCAATTTCATGATCAGGATCCTGATGAGCTTCATCCTGCACCTCGGCTACCGCAGGCTGATCTTCCAGAGCGACGGGGGGCCCGCGATCGTGGCGCTCAAGACGGCGGTCGCGGTGGCGACGCCGACGGTGGAATTCCTGCCTCGAGAATCGCCAGCAGGAGAGCGCCAGAGCAACGGAGGCATCGAGGTTACCGTGCGAGAGGTCAAGAGGCAGGTCAGGGCGAACAGGTACGCACTGGAGGCCGAGCTCGGCAGGAAGGTGGATGATGACCACCCGATCTTGAAGTGGTTACCCCAGTACGCCGCGGCCTGCATTGGCCGGTACCGACGCGGAACTGACGGCCTCACTGGAGAACAGCGGCGTTCAGCCCGCGACTGGAAGAAGCTGGAAGCAGAGTTTGGCGAGCGGGTGATGTACAGGCCGCTCGCGCCAGGAGGTCGCAGGAGTACCATGGAGGAGCGCATGAAGTCCGGGAACTCCCTGGGCTACCACATGCGGACGGGGGCCCTGCTCGTCATGACGGTTGACGGTGTGGAGAAGGCCCAAGGTTTCGAGAAACTGCCGAAGGAGCAAGCCTGGGACAGCAAGGACTGGGCAGCTGTTCGAGGAGTTCCCTGGGCGACTCGCCTGGAGGAGGAGGTGCCCGCTCTGGCGAGAGCGCCGGTCGTGGCTACCGTTCGGATGGGGCCACGAGCCCCGCGAGCGAGGTACGTCCTACGCCGCGACATCGAGGAGTATGGTTCCACTGCGGGCTGTCCAGGATGTCTGGGGCTGACGCAGAAGGGCAAGATCACGAAATCCCATGGCGGAGAGTGCCGCGACAGGATCGCAGAGCTAATGATGGGTAACGATGAAGGTCGAGTACGAGTTACCGAACACCACTTTCGAGCTGGAGACCAAGCAGTACGCGGTCGAGGTGTTCGAGGTCGAGAAGCAGCTGGAGGGCATCAAGCTGCCCTGCGCCCGCCTTCTGGAGGCGGCGATCGAGCTCCTGCCCCAGAGCCGAGGGGCACCGAGATGGCGGTGGTGCCGGCCGGAGGCAGTGGAAGCGAACCGAGCGCTGCCAGGAAGCGCCGAGGAGACGCGCCCGACCCTGGACGAGCTACCCGGGTACGAGGCGATGCGAGAGGAAGCTCAGCACCTGCAAGTGCTGAAGCTCGGCTCGCGCTCAAGCGAGCGGCGCCCCAGGATGAGGCGCAGATGAACTTGGAGGACCTGGTCGACACGGCGATGTCCCAGGCATCGTCATCAAGTTCAGCATCGGCATCGGTGCCGAGACCGAGCCAGGCTCCAGATGGGTCGATGGACGTCGACTTCCTGGAGCGGATCAACGGCTACGACAAAGGCCGCGCGTTTATCCTGATCTACGAGCTGGTGATGTTCGAGATGCGGACGAACGCCGACGTGAACGACGCAGAGCAGGCGGAGGAGATCGCGTCACTTCTTACCGAGATGTGCGCAGTGGACATTGCGGAGGTGTATTCGCCGAGAAGGTTTGCAGAGATGACGTTCAGTTGTGGCCTCGCGCACGGCCTGGCAGTGGATGTCGAGACTGGTTGGGATCTGAGATTGCCCGAGCAACGAAATGAGTGCAAGAAGCAGCTGAAGGGCGAAGACCCGCTGCTGACGATCACCAGCCCCCCGTGCACGCCATTCAGCAACTTGCGGACGCTCTCGGACTCAAAGCGAGACCCGAAGATCGTGGAGGCGGAGATTTTGGAAGGCGAGACGCACCTCAAGTTCAGCATGGAGATCTGCAAGGAGCGCTACAAGGCAGGGAAGCTATTTCTTCACGAAGCACCTTGGTCAGCGAGTAGCTGGCACCGCCCAAGCGTTCAGGAGGTCATAGAGTTGGCAGGCGTGTTCTAAGTCCATGGACCTATGTTTCGCTGGCACATGCAGGCGACCGACTCCAACGGAAAGTTGGGCTTCGTTCGGAAGGAGACCGGATGGCTCACTAACAGCGAGCTGCTCGCCGAGATCCTCAGAGGCTACTGCCGGTGCCCCAGGGGTCCGAACGGAGAACTCGCTCGCCGTGTTCATCTGGTTGACGGACGCGCCAACCATGCACAACGATGCCCTCCGAGCTTTTTGGCAGCTATTCTCAAAGGCCTACGAGAGGAGCTTCGACGACGAGAAAGGCTCAACCTACTTGCAGCTCTTTGTGGAGGACCACGCCCGCATGAAGAAGATACTGAGGTGCTCGCTGAGTACCAGGACGACTACTTCATCGGCGATCTCACGGGTGAGGTTTTGGACTCCGAGGATGCAGGAAGAACTGGATTGGTGCCGCGGGAGGCAGGTATGGAAGAAGGTACCTAGACGCGAGATGCTCGAGAACGGCGAGAAGGCAGTGACCTTGAAATGGACCGACGCGAACAAGGGCGACCGAACTCAACCACGGTGTCGTTCGAGGCTGGTCGCGGGGGGGATTAAGAAAGCTATGGGGTCCGAAGATCGACCAGATCAAGCTGAACTATTCTCGGCCATGCCACCGCTTGAAGCGTTCAAGGCGATGGTGACCATCTTCGTCGGCCGCGTGAAAAACGCCCACCACGACGGGACACAGAGGAGATCATTTACAAGTTTTACGACATCTCGAGGGCGCACTTCTATGGAGATGTGAATCGCGAAGGGTATGTGGAGTTACCCGAGGAGGAGACCCACGACGATCCAGAACCCATGGTGGGCAGGCTACTCAAGACGATGTACGGCGCAGTAGATGGAAGTCATGTGTGGCAAGACGACTACATCGGCCTGACGAGCTCGCACTGCTTCAAGAAGGGCGTCTCGAACCCAGCGCTGCTGTACCACGCCGAGCGTCATATACAAGCGGAGGTCCACGGTGACGACTTTGGTGTGATTATGCGCAAGTCCCAGGAGGGGTGGTTCGATGACGTGCTTTCGCGCTACGACTTGAAGGTCGCGGGTATTCTGAGCAGCAGGCGCCTGGAGGAACAGAGCGTGGTCTGTCTCAACCGGGTGTTGATCTGGAACCCCTTCGAGCGTTCGGCCTACCTCGAAGCGGACGCCCGGCGCGTGAAGAAGGTGATCAGGGACCTGGGCTTGGAGAGTGCGAAGGAGGTGACTACCCCGGCTGTTAAGAGGTCTGTCGCGGAGATCCTGAGTAGCAACCAGACCTCGCCGAAGCTGGGCGACGAGAAGGTGAAGACCTACCGCAGCGTGACCATGCGGATCATGTACCTGAGTCTGGACCGGCCCGACGTCAGCTACAGCGCGAGCATGCAGGCTAGACGCATGAAGGGGCCGAAGGAGACCCACATGGAGGATCTGAAGCGTATTGGCCGCTACTTGAAGAAGTACCCCGCTGGAAGGTTGCTGTTTCCTGCTCAGAAGCTGCCTAGAGAGGTTTGTGTGTTACTGCGACGGCGACTACGCGGAGGATCCGATTACTAGGCGTTCCCGATGTGGAATGGCCATTCTATGGAGGACGCATCTGCTGAAACATGGCAGTTCGGTCCAGTCCACGGTGAGTTTGAGCAGTGGCGAGGCCGAGTACTATGCATTACTGCGTGGAGCCTGCCACGGTTTTGGAGTACAGGCCACTTTGGCCGACCTTGGAGTTGAGGTGGACTACGAGATGGAGCTTTACATTTTCAGTGATAGCTCAGCCGCGAGAGGAATTGCAAGCAGACAGGGGCGGGGAGCTGTTCGACGCTTGGATGTTCGATTTCTATGGCTGCAGGAACGTATTCAGAGGAAAAGGCCGTTGCTGAAGACGGTCGAGGGGCACTGGAGACCGGCGGACCTGTTCACGAAGGCCCTCGACCAAGACACGATGGAGCGGTTGATGAAGCTGATTTGTTTCACGATGAAGCTCGACGGTGGCGTGAGGCAGCGTGTGCTGTGATATTTGACGCCGGCTGTTTGCCGGCGCATGTCTCATGAAAAATGATCGAGGCGCTGGTTCCGTTTTGGACTTTCGCCCTCCGCCTCCGCCCAGCCGCGGCGACGAAGGCCGAGGAGGGGTGTTCGGATATCTAGGGCCAGCGCCCTGTTTCGGAGGTTTCCTGGAACTCAAGTGAGTTTCGGATTGGATCTAGAGGTTGAGTTTAAGAAGAGAGAAAGACCAGAGGTGATTCAGAGCTCTGTCTGTAGTCCATCGTGGTTCAAAATATAGAAATAATGTATGTAGGTTGGTATGTATGTATGTCTGTCTGTCTGTCTGTCTGTCTGTCTGTCTGTCTGTCTGTCTGTCTGTCTGTCTGTATGTATGTATGTATGTATGTATGTATGTATGTATGTATGTATGTATATTTGTATGTGCATGTATGTATGTATGTATGTATGTATATATACACATGTATGGACTATGTTTGTTTTCTCCTCCCAAATCCGCCTGTAGGAGGACATGCCCGACTTAATAGTCCTGTTCGCCACGTGGCAATGCGCGAGGGGCGCCAGCGGCCGGCCATCGGCGGCCGGGAGGCGGCGGCGGCGGGCGGCCGACGCCCGGGCCCCGAGCGGGCAGCAGGGGGCACAGTCCGGCGCGGCCCCTCACGCAGGCCGCGCTTCGGGGGCTGGGCAGCCCCGTCTGTTCGAGCCCTCGCCCCGGCGGCGCGCGCCCAGGCCTCGAGCCGGAGGGTTTTCCCGAAGGGCTCAGGCGACCCCTCCTCCTCCTCCTCCTCCTCCTCCTCCTCCTCCTCCTCCTCCTCCTCCTCCTCCTCCTCCTCCTCCTCCTCCTCCTCCTCCTCCTCCTCCCCTCCTCCTCCTCCTCCTCCTCCTTCTCCTCCTCCCTACTCCCTCCTCCCTCCTCCCTCCTCCCTCCTCCCTCCTCCCTCTCCCTCTCCCTCCTCTCGCTCATCCCCACTCCCTCCTTCCTCCTCCCTCTTCCTCCTCCCTCCTCCCTCCTCCCCCCCCCCCTCCTCCACCTCCTCCTCCTCCTCCTCCTCCTCCTCCTCCTCCTCCTCCTCGGGTCGCCTACGGCCACGGGGGAAACTGTGCACCTCGAGCCGGCGTTCGTGGGCCAATGTTCGCAGTCCCCTCGCACGGATCGCGCCTGGGGGGCCAGAGAAGAAGTGATTGAACCCTCAGACGGCAAGATTTTGAGCCGTGTTTTGAAGCTCTGGGAAGCCTTCGATGGAAGTTTACCTGAACCCCCATCCGACGACGACGTGGAGGAAGGTCACGACGGAGACCTCGGTCGAGTTTCTCTGTGCCTGCAGCGGGGAACAGGTGCTTCAGACCTACCTGCACAGCAAGCGGCGACCCTACGACAAGCAGCGACAGGACCTCGGCCTGACCCGACACTGGCGCGCATACAGCGTTCGTCCTCGTTTTCTTTGTTTCTCTTACCAGACCATCCAGGTCATGCCTCTTCCACGACAAGGACCCCAGAACTCTCGACCCCCATACTAGGTGTCAGCTTTTTCGTCGCGGCTCGTTTCTGATGGTCCTGGGTGTCGGGCACGGCCGTGCCCTCCAATCACACCATCTTTCTGTTGGCGAGTGCGTGCGCCCAGCGTATGTCCCACCCCTACCGCGCGGCTTCCCTCCTCTGCCTCTTTCCCTCCTGGTGTTAGCGTTTCTGCTTCCCCCTCGTGCGTGATAGGAGTGTTCAAACAATTATTGTCGTTTGTGGCGTTGCATTCTCTTTGGTCTCACTATGCTGATTTTATCCTTTATTGCCGCGTGTGAGGCCTTGTTATGTTTGTGGTCGATCGGACCTTCGGTGACGCCCACACCTCGCATCCTGGTAGATTTTCTGTTTTACGTCACGCAACGCTCGGGTCTAGAAGATATGATGGTGGTCATGTCTGTATTTGCCATCTCCTCTCCTCTTCTCCACCTCCTGCTCGTCCAACGCTACTCAGAAAACGCTCCGCAAGAAACAATACGCAGAAACCACTACTCAAGAAACGCTACGCAGAAAACACTATATGCAAGAAACACTGCGTAGAATCCACTACGTAAAAGCAGTGCGTGAAAAAGCACTGCCGACTTCCCACTCTCATTTTAGAAATTTGACATCGGTGCATGGGGTCATCGTTGCCAGAGAAAAGTGTTGATGATTGGGGCCCTGGACCGGGTCCCCAGAGGCCCGAAATTAGAAACTGGCCGTCGTGTGTGTGTTTCAGGACGGTGAATTTCTGGGCCGCCCTTCTGCATACCTTCGTCGGCCCGCGAGGCCAGGTGCCATGATCTCTGGAACGTAGCATAGCACAATGTAAGTAAACCTGGTCAACCTTTAACCTCCCCTGGTATCCTTAGACCCCCCGGCGGTACCGAAGAGCTTCTGTTGGGAATCATACGTCAGCATCAACACGTCTTCTATAAGGAGCAGGAGGAGGAGAAAGAGGAGGACCAGTGTAAACCCAAGACCTATCAAAGATGTCGGAACAAAAGCCCTCCCTCTCAAGCTCCTTCTTGCATAGGCCCCTGCAAGGGTTCATTTCCATTGGGACCTGCCTCGTTGGCAGACTGGTTTGAAGACCCTGAAGCGTGCCAAAAGACCATTCTCGGGACTCCAACGCCACGAATCAACATGACTTCTGCTTCTTGACGATCCAGAACCGTGCCAGAACACCATTCCTGGGACCTCAACACCGCGAATCAACGTATCTGTTGCGCCCCCACAATCCTGAGTCCTTCCAAACACCATCTCTGGCACGTTGACCATGGGAATCCGATCTTCTTAAATCGAATGTGCGCGGCGCCAAGGCGAGAGCCGCACTTTGAAAACCACTCGCCCTCAATCCAAATCGAATGTGCGCAGCGTCAAGGCGAGAGCCACATTTTGGAAACCACCTGCCCTCAATCCGTGAATTCCTTTAACTTCTTAAACGAGTGTGCGCGGCGCTAAGGCGAGAGCCTCATTCTGAGAACGACCCGCCCTCAATCCGTGAAGCTCTTGCCATTTGTTTAACCGAATGTGCGCGGCGCGAAGGCGCGAGCCACATTTTGGAAGTGACCCGCCCTCCATCTGTGAAACTATTGTCAATTTTTGAGCTTCAGGGTCATGAATGGTAAGGAAGTCTCGTGCGCAACGCCCAACCCGCCCTTTCGACCGGCCTCGGGGCGCGACAGGGAGGAGTTATTCATAAGGAAAAGTGGTGGAGGAGGAGGAGGAGCACGCAGCGCTCATTCCGATCAACGTCAAAAAGTTCGATCAACGTCAAGAAGGGAGGAGTTGAAGACCAGGCGGATACGTAAAGGAGGAGCTTTTAAGGCAGGGTTGTCTAGGTTGGGCCCGCCACGATGAGGTCGTGGAGGAGGATGGGCACAAGGTGGATGCGCGGGGTGGCGGAGAGGGGTAGATTTTAGGAGATGAGAGGAGCAGGGGGACGAGTACGCGGATGAGCTCGGGTCTCCTCGCGATCGTGGCGCGTCTTCTGCCACCAAGCAGCCCGCCACCGAAGGAGGCCTTGGCGAAGCCCAGGAAGCCACTGGGCGATGACGCGTCAAGCCCTCAGCGTCTGCGTCCTGGGCGCGCGGGATTCGACGGCGTGCAGACGGGCGCAGGGCGAGGGGTGGCATTCTGCGGAGGCAGGGCGCCTCGCAGAAGCATTCCGGGAAGCCCCCGACTCCTGCGGATTTAAGTTCCTCCCTGGCCTTCTGAGAAGGCCGCCCCCCCTCTCGCCCCACTCCTCGTGGCGCGCTGCCGGGAGACCCGCTGAGACCCGCCATCTTTTCACTTGCAGCTCCTGCTCTGTTCGCGTCCGGCGATGGCGATATCTCGCTCCTTGGACAGGCGCTCGTTTGATGCTGCATTTGTTTTTCGGAGGCGACTGGGTGTACAAGAAGGCGCGGGTGCTCACCGCATGCTCCCCGCGTGCGTACACAGGTGCGTACATGCTCTGTGATGCGCCATACAGACATGTGAATGTGCGTAACAATCTTGAGGCGTGCAACGGTTCTTCACGCTTCGCGTATCCCCACCAGTGTAGCTAATTAGGTTTGCCCGTCGGCCCGGACAACTTCTCTCGCCGCTTGCGCGCTCGCTGGTGGCTGCGACCAAAAAAAGTATCCCCACCAGCCCAGTCAGAAATCCTGCCCTTCAGAGCTGACGGGAAAAGGGACGAAGAGGCACATCTAGGGAAACAAAGCGAGCAAGGGCGTGGCCGTGGAAGGCCTCTTCGGGCCATCCCTGGGTGCCGCGTGGGGGCGAGGGGAGGAGGAGGAGGAGGAGGAGGAGGAGGAGGAGGAGGAGGAGGAGGAGGAGGAGGAGGAGGAGGCGGCGGAGGAGGAGGAGGAGGACGAGGAGGACGAGGACGCGGATGAGGACGACGACGAGGAGGAGGACAAGGACTAGGATGAGGACGACGCGGACGAGGACTGATGGAACCATCTACAGGTATTCTTGCGGCTGCTGCTGCTGCTGCTGCTGCTGGTGCTCTCTGGGAGTTTTTTGGGCCCTCTTGGAACCCTCTTGGTAACACTGGAAGGCTTCTTGGGGTCATCTTGGAGGCCATCGATTACAGGATTGGGTTGTCCCCAACTCAGCTCCCCTCTTCAGGAGTCGGCAAACCGCTTCTTGGGGCTCTCTTGGGGCGCTCTTGGGCGCTCTTGGAGCGGTCTTGGGGCCGTTAGGAGCATCTTGGGAGCCATCTTGAGCCAGCTTGGGCTATCCGAGCCATCTTGGAGGTCGTCTTGGCCTCTTTGAGACGCTCGGGGGCCTCTCGGGTGCCTCTTAGGGCCCTCTGGGGATCCTCTTGGAACCCTCTTGGGGCTCTCTTGGGAGCCCTGGAGCGCCTCTTGGGCGATCAAATGAGGGATTCACCCGATCGAGGCCCCCCCCCCTTCGGGGGCCACGATACTCGTGAGGGGTGCCAAACATTGGCCCTCCCAGGGGCCGATCTTGGACGCTCCAACGGGCCGCGGCCCCTCCCGTCCATGTCCAGGGGAGGGGGTAGGGGTAGGGGTAAACCCCTCACCGAAGAGGAAGAAGCGTTTTTTTGGACGAGGACAGAAAATCATCGCTAGACCACCTGCGCCCAGAGGGCGGGTGGGATTTAGACCAGAAGCTGTATATGTGCGCGAGTACGGGTGCAACTGAGTACGACAGTGTCCAGGCCTGCAGATGCAATGTGCGTGGCTTGCGCTCCATACGTGCTTTATTTTTCGTGTACTCGTGTGTTCATACGATGTTTTTTCAACCCTCCCGTCTTGGGTTCTCGTCGGCCTACCCAGCGCGCGTGCTGGGTCCTCGTTTTGAATAGAGCACCGTGGTCTCCACTCCTCGCTCCTCCCTCCTTTGTCTCCGCCTGCGCTGCTCCCTGGGTGGCTGCGAACCGCGCAACTGCCGCCATGTTCGTGCGTTTCGGGGTGATGCAGCGGGGTCGGGGTCCACGCGGACCCAAACGATGTCTCGCTGCTCCCTGGGTGGCTGCGAACTCTGCGATTATCGCCACTTTCGTGGGCTCCTGGGAGGTCGGTCCAGCGGAGTCGGGGACCACACACGGACCCAGACCAGACCTCGCCGCTCCCTGGGAGGCTTCGAATTTCGCAATTACCGCCCCTATCGTGGGCTCGTGGGAGGTCCATCTGAGTCGGGGGCCACGCGGATCAAGCCGAGACCTCGCGGCTCCCCGGGAGGCTACGAACTTTGCAATTGTTGTCGCTTTCGTGGGCTCCTGGGAGCTCCAGCGGAGTCGGGGGCCACGTGGACCCAGACGAGACCTCGCTGCTCCTTGGGAGGCTGCGAATTGCGCAACTGTCGCCACTTTCGTTGTCTCCCGGGAGGCCCAGAAGAGTCGGGGGCCACGCGGATCCAGCCGAGACCTTGCTGCGTCGTGCGAGGCTGCGAACTGCGCAACTGTCGCCACTTTCGTGGGCTCCTGGGAGCTCCAGCGGAGTCGGGGGCCACGTGGATTCAGCCGAGACCTCGCGGTTCCCTGGGCGGCTGCGATCTGCGCAACTGTCACCACTTTCGTGGGCTCCTGGGAGCTCCAGCGGAGTCGGGGGCCACGCGGATCCAGTGGGGACCTCGCTGCTCCCTGGGTGGTTGTGAACGCAATTGTCGCCACTTTGGTGGGCTTCTGGGAGGTCCAGCGGGGCTGGGGCCACGCAGATCCAGTGGGGACCTCGCTGCTCCCTGGGTGGCTGTGAATTGCGCAATTGTCGCCAGCTGCGTGGGGTCCTGGGAACTCCAGCTGAGTCGGGGGCCACGCAGGCCTACTTGGGACCTCGCTGCTCCCTGGGTGGCTGCGAACTGCGCAACTGTCACCGCTTTCGTGGGCTCCTGGGAAGGCCAGCAGAGTGGAGGCACATGCGGATCAAGCCGAGACCTCGCGGCTCTCGGGTAGCTGCGAACTGTGCAATAGTCGCCACTCTCGTGGGCTCCTGTGAGATCCAGCGGAGTCGGGGGCCACGCGCACCCAGACGGGACCTCGCTGCTCCTTGAGAGACTGCGATCTTTGCAATTACCGCCCCTTTCGTGGGCTCTTGGGGGTCCAGCTGAATCGGGGGCCACGCGGATCCAGCCGAGACCTCGCGGCTCCCTGGGAGGCTACGAACTTCGCAACTGTCGTCACTTTCGTGGGCTCCTGGGAGGCCCGGCGGAGATGAGGGCAGCGCAGATCGTGCAGTTCTGGCGATGTGTTTGTACGGAGCGTTCATACAACTGTTCGCCTCGCGTGGAGAACGCGTTGGGTACGTCTCGGGTAATTATATCCCAAGCTCACGTAATTACTTGTTTAATGGTGTCAGCGCAGACGGGGCCATGCTTGTTGTGCAGGTGCGCCGACCAAGGACGGAGGCTCGAGCAGATCCCAGCCGTACCCTAGCACGGAGACCCGAGGTGTGCAGGCCATGGTGATCCCTCTGGGTCCTGGCATGGGCGGCCCGCAGACTCCGGCACCACCAGCGGAGCTCGCGAGGTTCAAGCCGATGATCACTGCCGTTGCTGTGGGGTACCTGGTGACGATCATCGTAGGGATTTATTCGAACTCAGCGGGGGACCTCCTGAACAACAATGGCATTTTTGTCTTCCTTGCAGCCGCTAGCATGGTCATCAACGAGCAGCAATGCTTTCTGCAGTGCATCTTTCCCTTTGCTCTTTTTGCGTCAACTGCCGTTGTCTTCGATATCATTACCTTTGCGGGCCTGGTGTCGCAGAATCGTACGTTGCAACACCCGGGGTTCGGTGACTTCTTTTCAGACACATGTGATTACACGCAAGCTGCTACACTGACTGCGGATGTTGTTGTGAATAACCAGACCTTCACCGCCGGAACAGAGGTGATGTTTACCCAGAACCTGTGCAGTCAGAAATATTTAGTTGGTCACGTGGTCCTAGTAATCAGTTGGTGTATTGATGTATTGGCCACCGCGCTGGCAGTCTGCATGGTCCGTGCACTGCAAGCTGCGGGGGGTGGCGGCAGCGAGATCCTCATGCAGGGCTTGCAGGCACCAGGCCACTCTAGCTCACTTGCGCGCTTGTTTGCGACCCTCTGCGCCATCGTTTCATAGCTTCTCACACATTGGGCTCGAAGTCTGGAAAGAGGAGTCAGAGGATGAGTCTCCCAAGGGCCCTGGGAGGTTTCCAAGGGTTCGGGGCAGTCCTGGGGATTCTCGCGTTTCCTTGAGACACCTTCGGAAGTTTCGCGAGATCCGCTTGGCGAGGAAGATACAGCCACCACAAAGCATTGACAGGCCCGTTTTGTGCCCACACCTCGGTGGATGTCTGCGCCTGGTCGGGCTAGGAGGCCACATCCACCAAGATCTGGGCCCCCGTCGAGGACGCCAGCGGCGCATCCCCGGCCGCTCCCTGGGAGTTTTGCGAAGTGGTGCGCAGCATCGAGAGTCGTGACGCAGTGCGCATGCCAGCTGTCCGTGCCGAGGGGTTGCCTGAAGGCTTCTTTGGAGTACCTAGCGGCCTTCGGCACATCCCGCACCGTGCCTAAGTTTTAGGTCAGAGGCCTCTTGGATGCCCGTGGGGATCTGGGAAGGCTTTTCGGAAGCCTCTTGGAGGCGGCTTTGGAGATGTCTTGGGGTCTCTCGGGGCTTCTTGGGGGCCTCCGAGGGCCTGATTTGGGCTTTTATAGGGGGCCTTCAGGGGCTTCCAGGGGGCCCCTTGGCGGCCTGATGGCGGTCTCGGGTGTTACCTTGGGGCGGAGAGCGCGAAATCCCACTTTGTTTTGCCCTCTTGGGACCGTCTTGGAGCGTCGGAGGCCCGAAAGGGCGAGAACGCCCAAATCCTTGACAAAGCTAATTTAGTACAATGATTTTGGCCTCTCGGGGCCCTCGTGAGAGTCCTCTTGGAGGCCTCTTGGACGTCCCGAGGGCCCCTGAGGCCGTCTTGAGGCCATCGGGGGCCCTCCTCGTCCTCGTCCTCGTCCTCGTTCGCGTCGTCCGAACGGTTGGCCGCGTGCGGCCCCCGGTCCGGAAGGCTGTCAGATCACAACCTGGAAGGGTGAGAGGAAGAGGAAAGAGGGAGAAGGGAGAGGAGGGGCGGGGGCGACAAAATCAGGGCAGGGGGCCTGACAGGAGGAGAGACCCGGGGCCCATAACCCCGACTCTGGCATCATTCTGCGACACCACCATGGAAGTACACAACAACAACAGCACAAAGTGGCTCCAAGAAAGTGGCCGCACCAGCGGTGGCGCAGAGCGCCTACTTGGTGCATTTCGACAAACCGACCCCTTTGGAACCACCCAAGCCGAAGACCCAGAAGCCCACAAACAACTTCCGGTGTCGCCTGGTGAAAACAGACGCCCGCGCCTCACCTGCACCAAGTCTTCCACGCACGACGAGACGCCACAAAAGCACGAGCCCAAACCCAGCAAGCACGGCCCTGGCCGCGAGGGGCCCCGGGGGCGGCGGCCACTTGGGGGAACCCGGTGGCCTGGCAGATGTGGAGGGCCGAACCCACCACGAAGCCGCCCCCGAACGGTCGGGGGAACCCGCCGTTGGCAGAGTGCCGTGTAGAAACACAAACACTGGCAGCGCAGCCACACAGTGTGCTTGCCGACCAGGGAAGAGCCGGAGCTCGTCGTCATGCGTGTTTTTTTTCCTTGCCTCCTCACAAGCATTACTCATCTGTAAGACTCTGATGACCACCTTCCGGTGTCGATGGGTCATTTTACGGTTCCCACCCCGCCCGACGATGGTCGAAACCACCGCCGAGCGACACAGGCATCCAGGGACCGCACACCCCGCCCGACCATGGCCGAGACCACCGCCGAACGACATGTGCACCCCCAATTGACGGTGCGCCTCGACCAAGGGCGTCTCCGTCCTCACTCCCCGTCTACCCTCAGGGGAAAGATCCAGAGACCCAACCGCCCCTGATAGGATGTTGGACGAGGTGGGTTGTAAACTCCCGCCCCCAAGCGAAGAAATAAGATGGGAAATAGATATAGATCCGCCAGAGCCCAGAACAAGAGACACAGATCCAAAGACAGTGTTCCGAACCTAACTCCACCGATGGCCCAAGAGGGGGCGCCCCGGGAGGGGCATGGGTTAGCCGTGTTCCCTCCCTCCACCTCCCCCTCCCCCCTCAACACGACAGCCAAAGATCACGAAGACCAGGTACCCGGCACCACAGCGGCGGAGGCGAAGAACTAGCCAAGCCCGCAGGGTAGAGTGAGGACTCCTGACCCGCCCCGGTCAGTGGCCCCCTCTCCCCCCCGCCAGGTTTAGCTTTCGCCCTTCGCACTCTGCCTGGTCAGGGAGGGGGTCAAGTGGAAGGATTTGAGACACGTTGTCCCAGGTGCGGCCGCGTTCAGGTAGAACTGGAGGCCTGTGTACCTGCACCTGATCGGGGGCCGTCTTGGTGCGATCTGCAATCATCTCGAGGCTCTCTTGGACAATCTTGGGCGCCTTTTGGGGCTCCTCGTGCGGTCAGGGTCAGTCTGACAGACCCAGGGAGGAGGAGAAGAAGGAGGAGGAGGGGCTGCCAAAAACACAATCGTGGCGAAGGACCCAACCATATGCAGTTGTCCCTGCCGAAATGGGCCTGGGGACGCATGGCAGCTGTGCCTCAGGGGCCTTATGGCTGGAGGACCGCATGTGGCCCCCCCCTCCTGGGGCCTTAGCTGGAGACCCCCATGAGGCCGCGAATCGTGTGAGGGGTGTGCCGAAATGGCTGGGGGACCGCATGCTGGCGCTGCCAGGGGCCTTCGGTGGAGCTCCCTATGGGGCCACGAAGCGTGTAAGGGGTGTGCCGAAATGGCTGGGGGACGCACGCGGGCGCTGCCACTGGGGCCTTCGGTGGAGCTCCCTAAAGGGCCACGAAGCGTGCGAGGGGTGTGCCGAAATGGGCCTGGGGACGCATGCGAGCTGTGCCTCAGGGCCTTAGTTGGAGCTTCCTACACGACGCGTGTGAGGGGTATGCCGAAATGGCTGGAGGACCGCATGTGGCCCCCCCCTCCTGGGGCCTTAGCTGGAGACCCCCATGTGGCCGCGAATCGTGTGAGGGGTGTGCCGAAATGGCTGGGGGACCGCATGCTGGCGCTGCCACTGGGGCCTTCGGTGGAGCTCCCTATGGGGCCACGAAGCGTGTAAGGGGTGTGCCGGGATGGCTGGGGGACGCACGCGGGCGCTGCCATTGGGGCCTTCGGTGGAGCTTCTTAAAGGGCCACGAAGCGTGCGAGGGGTGTGCCGAAATGGCTGGAGGACCGCATGTGGTCCCCCCCTGAGGCCTTAGAAGGAGATCCTCATGTGGCCGCGAATCGTGTGAGGGGTGTGCCGAACTGGCTGGGGGACCGCATGTGGCTCCCCCCCCCCCCTGCGGCCTTCCCCCGGGGGCGTCAGTTTGGGCTCCCTCTGGGGCTAGGAAGGGTTTGAGCGGTGTGCCGAAATGGACATGCCGAGGGCAGAGGCAGGGATGGGAGGAAGGAGGAGGGAGGCGGGAGGTTACGCGGGTGAGATGAGATGACGCGGGGCGCCATCTCTTCAAGAGAAGACCCAGCACCACAGGATGGTCGGGAATAAGCATAGAACGGGGTCGGAGCTGGGCTGAGAATTGGGTGGGTGGGAGCTGCCACAGACAGGCCCAGACAGTGAGGCGCTAGAACGGATTTGGATTTGGGCCGAACATAGGGTTGGTGGGGGCTGCCAAAGACACATGTCGAAACGGTGAGTGCATATCGGCGGGCCGGCTAGAACGGGTCGGATCGGGGCCGAAATTTGGGTGGGTGAGGGCTGCCAACGACAAAAGTCACGCCAGTGAGGGGATGTCGACGTGGGGGTCTTGAACGGGGTCGGATCCGGTCTGAATTGGATGGTGAGTGGGATCTGCCAAAGATAGATGTTCAGGCGGTGAGGGGATATCGGCGGGGGGGTTCGAGCGGAGTCGGATTGGGGCCGAACATTGGGTGCAAAGGGGCTGCCATATACAGAGTCTAGACGGCGAGGGGAGATCGGCGGGGGGTTAGAAGGGGTCGGATCCAGGACGCAAATCGTGTTGCTGGTTCGGACAGGTGTAGAAGTACGTTCTGGGCAACTGGGTCAACTTCCTGCGTGGATCCCCCCACATTTCAAATTCTTGACGCTTTGTGTGTCAGCACTGTTCGCGCGTTGCTAATTAGATTGGCCCGTGGCCCGGACCTTTCGACTCGGCGCCTGTGCTTCCGCTTGCGCCCGCGAGGAAAAAAGTGTCAGCACTGTGCGTGGCGCCCATTCGGGCCCGTGTTGGGTCAACCTGACACCATCTCACGCACTGGTACGTGGTGACCCGCGCCATTTTGGCTGCGTCGCGGCTTTGCCGCTTCCCGCACGCGTGCGTACTGCTGCCTCGGGGTCTCTCGGCTTCCGCCACCCTGGGAGTTGCAGCCTGCCAGTGCGCTCGCCTCCTGGCGTCAATTCTTTGGCCGACGGTCCTTCGGACCACCCTGGTTCTCGTGCTCACGCCGTCGTCCGGGGCCTCGCTTTTGCATTTCTCATTCCCACCTCGACTGGCGGTTCGTCGGCCGCGGCCACCCTGGAACCCACGCAGCTGCTTGAGGTTCGTTCTCATGCATTCTCTCTCGGAGTTGTCCCTGGTCGTCGTTTATTTCCCGACTTCTGGCGCCTTCGACGGACTTGCATCTTTGCACGCTGGCAGTTCCACTCAGTTTCAGTTCCTCCTGCCATCCACCTGCCGCTGGGCCGCTGCGTGAGGCCTCGGCTTGCCGCGTAGCTGTTGCCTTGCGCGTCGCCTCTGTTTAATTAGTCTCTGCGTACCGCTTGGACCTGACTCGCCGCTGGCGCGCTCGCCCGCGGCCGCTGACCAAAAAGTATCACCACCAGTCAATCCAGAAACAGATTGGCAGGCGAGTTGCCTTGGTTAGGGAAGTGTAGAAGAGTGCAGTGTATCAACCGCCTTGGAAGCGTTTTCTCGGAGGTCTCTTGGAGCCATCTTGGGGCTCTCTTGGGGTCCTCGCGGAGCCTCTTGGGGCACTCTTGGGGCCTTCTTGGGGCCCTTTTGGGGC